CGTCCAGTAAAATTGAAAGAAAGAAAAAAAATTTGAAAGTTGAAGAATGCGGATTAAGAATGGGTGAGTTAACCATCAAATGCCTTTTGTACGCCGATGATCAAGTTATTCTTGCGTCGTCGGCGGCTGAGTTGCAAATGATGGTTACATTAATGAACAGATCATTAAAAGAAAGGGGTATGAAAGTGAACGCAAGTAAGACGAAAATTATGGTTTTTGAAAGAGATGAAAGTAAAACGATATGTGAAATAAGAATAGAAGGGGAGTTGATCGAGCAAGTAGATGAGTTTGTATATTTGGGTTGCGTATTTAGCAGGGATGGGAGATATGATAAGGATATAGAACGACGAGTGAACGCAGGAAACAGAGTAAATGGGGCCCTGCACTCTATTGTGAAGAGTCAAAATGTGTCAAAAAAGGCACGTATGGCAATTCACAATGCTGTGTTGGTCCCTACTTTAACGTATGGTAGTGAAAGTTGGGTGTGGCAGAAGAAGCACGAGAGTAGAATAAATGCAGTAGAAATGCGGTCGTTAAGGAGAATGTTAGGGCTGAATCTGAAAGACAGGGTGATGAATTGTGTGATAAGAGAAGAGTGTGGTTTGCAAGATGATGTTGTGACCAGGATTAAGAAAGGAATGCTTCGGTGGTTTGGTCATGTGGAAAGAATGGATGAGGAAAGAGTGACAAAGAAAATTTATGTTGCAGAAGTGAATGGCAGAGTCGGAAAGGGACGTCCTAGGCGAAAATTTATCGACCAAATTGGCGATTTATTGAAAACGGGCCAAATTAGGAGTACCCTTAACCGACGAGCATGCATGCGTAGATGTATGGATGTGAAGGAGGCGAGAGAGGTGTGTCAGGATCGTGCCAAATGGAAGTCTGTAGTCTCTGCCTACCCCCCTGGGTGACAGGCGTGAGTGTTTATGTAAAATTGATTGAGAGGTTTAACGAAAACGTATCAAACAGACTTCTTTCACGTTTATTATATTAGTAGGTAATTTAATAGGAAATATTTATAATTAAGTACCTATGAATAATGTATATAATTACCTATAACCCTAGGTCATGAACTTTTTCACCAGAGGTGGCGACACCTCACACGAAAAGAAGATTAACTTTTTTGTTGTCTGTACTTTTTTGAGGTGGATGACATCACGCAGCTGTTATTGTGACAAGGTTCCATCGCAATATCAACGTGCGGGGCTTATATGCTCGATAGTGGTTAGAATTCAGGCGACTATATTTATAAAAACCTTTGTGTAAAAATCTAGAGTTAATTCTATGCCAGCGAATACTGTAAGAGATACTTGAAGTGTGACGGACGCACTTAGGAAAAATAGTCCATTTGGGAGCTATCTTGGGGAGCTGCAATAAAAAATGTTTTGTTAAAAACGTCCTCAACGTGTTGGGGGGCGCCATTGTACTCGTATTTAATTTGCTTTATGGTCGGCTCTTCCTTTTTACTGTTTTATTTTTATTTTATATGGAAGCCTTCAAAGAACTTTGTTCATTCTACAAGATAAAGTAGGTCAGTAATTAAATCTTTTGATTATGCTTAATAATGAGATACTTTTAATTAAAGACTCGTGATTGTTCTTTGTTTATAAAATGTATATGCTAAATTGTAGGAAGTAATTGTTACGGAGATTCTATTTATAATTAAAACCAGCGTTGCTCACATTTTCATACACTTAAATTACATGTAGGTTACATAATATGTACAAATTATATTTACACTTCCTGCTACTATATATAAAACCGATCAGGTTTTCACGTAGGTAACCCGATGAATCTTACTCCGAATTCGTCCCGGGCTTCTTATAATATCAATACACACAATCAGTGGGTATTATTACACGGTAAGTATTATTATGTAATTAAATTTTCAAAATGAAATAAACGTACTCCATTTAACGTAAGATATACTCGTACAACAATATTTATCTTATGGTCCCGGGAGGAAAAACCTATGTAATCAAAATTTACCAATAGACCTAATAAAGAAAGATGGAAAGACATACGTTAACACCGTAAATCTACATACTACAGTCCTCAGAATAACCAAAACATATATACTCCTACATTATTTTTTAAAATAGCACTAAGATTTTCTCCAGTATCGTCGAAGCCATTTTCATACACAAATTGCACAACGACAAACATAAAGTCTGGAAAAATTAATTGTAGGCCGTACAAATATCTGATCCGTGCGTGTATTTTCAATGTGTGTGTGTTTTTTAAACAAATAACAAAATACAATACCTGCTCCTGATTTTTCAAACGCTGTATTGTTCTATATGATTTGAAAATTAATGGATAACAGCCAATTTTATTGATTGTGTTGTAGAGCAATAATTTTTTTATAGAATAGCGGTGACCAGCCAGCACACAGTCCCCCTGATTGTAAGTGAATGCTGTAGCCCATAGACATCTACATCTGTCCTCGACACAGGACCAAAATGCTGACACGTTGTTACCACTGAGGACTAAGATGGAATGTCTCTACTAGTATAAGGGTCATCATCATACAAGAAAGTCTTTACCACTTAGCCCCAATTCTATTCGTTTAAAAAATCAAACTTTCATGTTATTTTATATTATGTTTTGCGTAATAAAAATATTATAAAAGAAAAAATATGGTGTATATTGATAGTCCTAGCAATATTTCCAATTAAAGGAAAAAAATAATGTCTACAACTTCGAAATCGCAAATACCAAGAAAATCGGAATTACCGTTGCCTACGATAGAACATTTTGAGTTCGTTACGTCACATTACACAAATACAACTATGTCTTCCTTGCCTTGACTTATTTTAGTACATTCTTCAGATAAAAATTAAATTTGTGTTTTACTTTGTTGCGAAAGTTTTGTTTGAAGTCCATTCCAGTTATTCGCCTAGGGCGCAATGTTTGATCGGGTCAGTGCTGGCTACAGGTAAACTTAATTTTACTCAGTGAAGTAAAGTTATCTGTTCAACTGCTAATTTGTTTGTTTTATGTAAATGTAATCAATACTTAACAAACAACTATTATAATTTTGATTTGTTTAATATCCCAACTTCTTCATCTGCCCATGAATCATCTAACTACTGCAGGACTGCTGCTTAGCTAGTATTTGTTAATTTCGACCCGTCATTAAAATGTAGAAATCAATAAGTTATTAGAATAAATTAGTTTGGACGTATTTCTTCGATACAAAATTACTTTAAAGTGACAAAAAACATCATCTAAAAAGTTCTCATAATAATTTTATTGACGGATCGGTAGCGCAGTGGATAAGCATGATGCTCCGTGGTCGTGGGTTCAGATCGTTACTCGAAATAAGTATGTGCATAGCCTACAAATAATTGTTGCAGGTCTAGATGTTTGTACATGTGCAAAGTATCTTCCACGATACTGAAGTAGACCCGGACGTAGGAATGTATTTTTTTTTAATAAGTATTTAGAGAAATGTCTGTACTTTCCCTATACACTCTCTCTACTGCCGTATATACAATCTAAATATATTGGTCAGATCGGACAAACTCTCTTTCTCTGAAAAAAAAAAACCAATATATTTTAAAGCTTGAACTCCTCATTGTTATTAAGTAGGCTCACACTTTTAACATATCGCAATAGAAATGATAACACACGGCATCGCATGTAACAAACTGGAAATAGGTATAGCTATATTAACCGAAGAAGGACCAGCGTAAAATAGCATCTTACCTAATACTTCTGTGTTTCGTAAGGTGAATGTAGTGAACCGGAGACCTATTTTACTGGAAACGGGGCTTTTCATCTTATTACCTAAGGGTGGCAACGTATTTTGATTCTTTTTTGGGGGACGGTTTGTTTGTATACAGGCTACAGCACCTAATTAACATTAGGTGGACAGTGTGCTCGTTTGTCAACCTTATTCCATGTAAAAAAAAAACAATCACCTAACGCTATTTTTATATTTCTACATCTTCGGTTCTATTGTGAGATATTGTCACTATAAAAAAAAATAAATAAAAATTTGAGAAAATTAATAAAATCTTAAAAGAAAATTTCCCTTTACAATTTTAACGCCTTTCAAACTGAAGCCATAATGCTATTATGAAACTCTTTATGAATGTGAACAAAAGGTTTCTATAGTAAATTTCATTCCCTAATTAATTAAACATGAGCGGTGTCCTTAAAAATACCTTAACTTTTTACAATAAAAATGTTCAGTACTATATTTCTACAACCCTTGTGTTATAAAAGCACGTTTGTTAAAAAAAAACTGACAAGGCCTCGGCTTGTAAACAACAATTGGACTGCGTTATGTAAGAACGAATTAAGCGAAGAAATCGAAAAAAAGTATTGAATGCAGATCGACTATATGTATGATAAACTACGTATTCAGCTATTTTCGTGTTCAAAAACCACTCTTACGACCTAATCATAAGGGGTTGAATCAAGCGACATTTCGAACTTTGTTAGAATTTGTGCACACATTCGTTTTGTATTAAAGAATTATGCGTCAAAGTTACTTCTCTTGCATACGAAAACTACAAAACAACGACGGCAAAAAAAAAAAAAAAAACCAAAAAAAAAAAGAAATTGAAAAAAAAAAAAAAAAATGAAGAAAAGCAAAAAAAAAAAAAACTCGTAACTCAATGTTAAACAAGTATTATTGAACACATTGATAAATTCTCAAAATATAAGCCCCATTACTGTAGAGCGCAGACAGACAGGATGTATTTACCACCGGATATGACTTTGTCGAAAATGTACGATTTATATTTATCGGATGCAAGCTCTGATGAATCAAGAAAGACAGTTTCATTTGCATCGTATAAAAGAATATTTTATACCAAATTTAATCTACAAAGAAAAAAATCGTAGAAAGACACGTGTATAAGCTATTAGTAGTAAAATCAGAGATACCACTTCACAAGAAACTAAATCAAATTTAGAGAACGAAAGATAGCAGCACCATAAAGAAGTTGAAGACGCATGTACAATGAAAAAACACTTTGACTTTTGATATGGAAAAGACGCTGCCACTGCCAAGAATTCCAACCAACATAGTGTTTCACAAGCGCCAACTGTGGCTATACAACTGCGATATGCATTCAGGAAAAATCGGTAAAGGGTTTTTACGTCAGTGTGGAATAGCAGGCAGGGGAGCACAAGAAGTAAACTCCACTTTACGCAAACATATATCTTTAAATCTAGACTCAAAAGTCAAAGAACTCATTGTGTGGTCAGACTCCTGTGGTGGTCAGAACCAAAATATTAAGTTGACTCTGCTACTATTTGCAGTATTAGTAGAAAATGACAACTTAGAGAAAATCACCCTTCGATTTATGGTTCCTGGGCATAGCTACTTAGAAAATGATAGCGAGTTTAGTGATATCGAACCAGCTTTAAAAATCCAGACACGGCTATACACTCCACAAGACTACATTGATGTGATGACCAGCTGTCATAAGAGAAACAAGTTGACAGCTACTAAAATGGAATGTTTAGACTTTGTCGTAATTTCTAAAATGATGAAGACCATAGTTAATAGAAAAAAGATATAGAAGGAAATGCTATAAGCTGATTGAAAACTAAAGAAATAAACATTTTTAAGATTAGACCTGGTCGGATATTTCTTTGAACCTGTCATGGTGGTCAAACTCATGAAGTAGATCTCGATAAAAGACCAAAAAGAGGGGCAATAAATAATCTATTGACGTTATTAAGATGTTATGAGCAACTTTGTCCACAAGGAAAACCTATTTTTCAACCAAAACTAGATGATATAAAATCCCTCCTTCACGAATGAGAGAAAATATTACGAAAATTTAACTGGATCTCATAATTTTAAAGTAGAAGATGAAGAATAAAAAATAATATGATACAGTGGTAGGTAATAAATAGAAGAAAAAGTATTAGTAAGATGTAGAAGTGTTACAACATATTTGGTTTTAATTAAGTATATTTTATGATAATAACTGGATTTAATCTTATTGTCCAATTTATTTCACCCGAAACAAATCGCAATAAAGTATCAAACGACAATAATGCCGTATAGCACGTTATTGATAAATAAAATTGTCTGAATATGACTTAAATACATTAACAAATTAAGCGGAAAAATGACTATTACTACGAAACTGTATTGTATAAGCCTTATATTTTTTTAACTAATGAAAACTTGTACACATTTTGTATCTTCAGAATAAAAAATATAGCCTAAACATACTAAATGTATGCATAGCGATAATATTAACTTTGAAATATTTGAAGCTCATTTTCTCAGTTTTCGTTAAGTGGCGCTTAATCGGTTCTTACATAACGCAGTCCAATTTTCCTTGACATGTTCTTATCCAAGATGTAATATATCAGCTAAGTATAGCGTAAAATAAAATATGCACATACAAGTGTGTTATTAACACGTAGTTGAGGTTTAAGAATATCCTCTACGCTAGTTCGATCGCGAAACAAACAAGCAGCATCTTATGACATTATGACAGCTAGAAAAAAAACCTCGGTGGTCAATACGCAACCGAACGTGGCAACTGCTGCAAATATGCCCCATAAAAGGCAATCTATGGAGCAGTAGACTTTTGATTTTTGATAGGCTGAAATGATGATGATAATGTTGGTGACGACTTGTATTTACCCCTATCGTTTTGTCCTGTTATTTACACGGAGGAAGAAAAAGGCTGAAGTTGACTGTCGTTTATGATAACGAGCACCCGTTTTATTTGTTACAAAGTTGTTTGTAAAAATATCTCATAAATGTAAAAATAGTATTTTATATCCTACCTTTTAGTTAAAATACACTTTTCGATTCTAATATAAAGGTAAAAGCATTGAATATTTTTCTTTCTGTCACCATTAATGTTAAACTCTATTTTCCCTCTATTAACTGACGTTACACAAATAAAAGACCTGAACTTCAATAATATTCAGGATCAATAACTTTAATGTATCTATACTTAAAATTCAGATTTAGATTGATCATTGGTAGTCACTAGTCACACTGAATACGTTGCTGATATAATTTTAGTATAACTTCTGAAGAAACATGAGAAATTTATAATATTTCAATAATACATATCATATTTTGTACTTTTCACAGTTGTGTTAATGTATTTTGTTTAATGTACATTTATTGAAGAACTTGAAGCCGAAACAACACTCAGTAAACTGTGAAATGATTCAATTCAATGATTCAAAGAATTGGGGATACAATAAAGACATTGAGCAAAGACGTCATCACGAGCAAAATTTAAATAGGTTTTTTTTATAGGGTGTTGATAAATAGTACAAATTTACGAGCGCAACCGCGTTACTTATTACTTCGAATCTCATTGGCAGCTGATGTTGCTTTGAAAGAATAACACAAAAATATTTTTCTTTGAGTTTGGAACTTTGTGCCGTTCTCGTTTTTCTGAAACTGTAATGCGACCTTTTCATTGATCTCATTGTTTTAGCGCATTTTTCGGATTCCTGAGTAATGAAAAACGGGAGTCTGACTATGTTAGAGATATAATGTTTGTATAACTGTGATAAATTGTAAAATGATAGTTTTATATGCAATTTTTTTACGTGATAGAGCCATGTTGAAGCTATGTGGGTAGTATACGGATAGGTCAGCTCGACCGGAGACACTTTTTACTGAAAACGAGACATTCTATCTTAGTCATCACGAGTGATAGCGCATTTGCATTAACCGAGTATAGATGTAGATATCTATGGGCTACATCAACTACTTAGGTGGACAACGTGCTTGTTTGTCACCCTTGTCCTGTACAACTGAACTTTAGTGAATTTGTTTTTATTTATTAGTAATAAAAAGAAATAAACTGCTCACCACGTTGGGGAATGCGACCGCTGAAACGATAACAGTATTACTAAATAGTAATGGTGATCCCCATGACCAGTCTGTGGAATAGTTTTTCAGCATACTTGGATAAGATTTTAAGTAGTAAGTGTAAGTTAAAGAGGCTATAGTCCGGCTATAAAGCTCGAAAAACCGTCAACCGATGAGGAAGAAAGGTAGGTACTCTAGTGACTTCCTTGAGCCGCGCAAGCGAAGTGGTGGGCGGCTCGTCACTAGATAGAGTGACGACCTGGTTAGGAAAGCAGGTGTTTGTAGAACCGTGATTTCTGACATTTCTTGGGGAGGCCTATGTTCAGTAGTGGACTTGTGATGAGCTTTAATAAAGATGTTGATAATGATCGATAGTAATATTGAGACATCGATTATTTTTTCCACCTGATGATAAATGAATGATCTGCCCATACCTATATCTATCCTTGATATAAATCAAAATGTAGATGTGTTTGTTACCCTGAAGTCTGAGCTAGAATGTCCCGTTGCCGTTGCTGATATCCGGTTCTCTACATTTACCACAGCAAACACAGCAGCACTAAGCTTTGACGCTGGTATTCTGTGAGAGCATTTTTTTGTTGAAGAGAAGCACACATGCATGCGGCTAACCTGATGGTAAGTAAATACCATCGGCCATGAACAACTGCAACACCAGCGTGGCCCTTTACCGGTCGAGCTGAGTCATTCATGCATAATTATAATGTATCTGTATCGTGGCTCTTACACATTAAATTTAAAAAATATAGTAAATATCAAAAATTAGTGCAAACATAAATTAATTGACATCGTTTACACGTTAAAAAGTGTTTGCTATATAGCGAACACTTTTTACTGTAAACTATAGACTATATAGTCTATTTTATAGAAGGACCAAGGGTAAACAGCTATATTTTATACTAGCTTTGCCCGCGACTTCGTTCGCGTGGAATGAGTACCTTGCTATTCTATGTTATGATGATTTATTTGTAAATTAAACTGTCGCGAAGACTTAGAAAGACACTAATCTGAATAAAAACATTCAGTTAGTCGGTCAAGTAGAAAAAACAAATAAACGGACCCACAAGCAAACCAAGAAACAAATAGGGCAAACTGTACGCTTGTGTTTTATTTTATAAATAAACAACAAAATGACCGCAACAACGTAATACCTAATTTGCTCCCGAATTTCTCTAGCTAATTTCTCTAGCCTTGGTTTCCATACAAAAAATAAGATATTGCCCTAAATAAGCAAGCACCATTACTAATTATTGATATTGAATAAAAAATTTGAAATAAAAACTACAATCCAATGCCTACCTAAAACTAGCACCTACACTGACAAAATAATGAAATTGCGTAAGTATCTATAATTTGTCTCTAATAAAAAAAACTAATTGCATTATTTTAATTTCTTTTTTATAGGATAGGGTGACAAACGAGCACACAGTCCACCTGATGCTAAGTGATTACTGCGGCCCATAGACATCTACATCTATCCTCGATTACAAATCTAAATGCAAATGCGTTGTCACCCGTGAGGACTAAGATGGAATGCCTCGTTTCCAGTAAATAGGGTCTCCAGTTCTCTACACTCACCATACGAAACACAGCAGTATTAAGCTACTATTTTACGCTAGTATTCTGCGAGAGCGTGGTCCTTCCCCGGTCGACCCGACCCATTCGTTCTACAATTAATACAAATATAACTGCAGCATGGCTCTACCACTTTGAAAAATCCTGAAGTATTCGTACAAATTTTAAAGGTACAATAATCATTTAATAATTTTTCCTATACCAATATGAAATCACCCCGTAAAAACATTTTTATAACCTTATTTTACTATATAAGGATTTTAAATTTTCAAGACTTCTTTATTAGTGGGTGCCTACTTAATAAAAAGAGGCGGTTTGAGCAGTAGATTTAATACAATATTTTTCATACAAAATTTGAACCCTTGTTTTAAAACCGTAAGAGGCCCCATTCTCCCTCCCTCGGTAAGAGGTGGTTGTAAGAAATACCAAAATATTTTATTTCCTTACAAAATTGAATACCCTCTACCCCGGCGCCCTCTACCGTAACGGGTAATTTTGAAATCGAAAAATACGTATTTATTTATTTTTAAATACAGTACTCTCAGTAAGTATCGGGTCGATCGCAAAAATATAATCAATCAATAGTAACATATTTTTATAATAAAATAATAAACTGCGATTTATCAATAATATAAAAATGAATCGCAAAATGTGTTGGTAAGCGCATAACTCAACAACGCCTGGACCAATTTGGCCAATTTTTTTTTAAAAATGTTCATTGGAGTTCAAGGATGGTTTTTACGGCGAGAAAAATTAGAACAATTGCCGGAAAAACCCTTAAAACAGCCCTTTTCTTTTTCCCATACAAACGTTTTCTGACTAAAACGTAGTCAATTTGAGCTTTATTGCTATTGTATAAAGTTCATATTAAATTTCTTTTGTTTTACTATCGGCACGCGACATAAAATGCATCAGTTTTCACGTCATTACATCAGTCAAATACAAACCGTGTGAATAAGTAAGTTTTAATATCCCTATTTTACAGACATAAAACATTGGTACGGCTTGAAAGACTTCAAGTCAAATCATAGGTAGTTATCAAAAACATGATACATGGTCCCTGTGGAACTCTTAATCAAAATTCACCTTGTATGATGGATGGTAAATGTTCAAAACGATATCCAC